GGCGCGCGGCGGCGCCGGGCACAGCCAATGGCGGGCGGCCGGGCGGCCGTTGGGGCCCGTGGCCGCCGCGCTGCGGAGGAGCCGCTTGCAGCGCGCCCGGCGGCTCCGAGCGCCCCCAGTTGCTGTTCTCCCGTTTCTGTATTTTTATTTCTCAGTACTTAAAAAAAATCACTTATTATACTTAAAAGGCGGCTTTCATTAAGGAGAGCATCAAGGGGAACGGCTCCTGAGTGTTCTTAAATAAATTAGGAGGTGTTTTCCCTGTAAAGGGCGGTGGATGTCTCATTAACTCGACCGCAGATATTTGAGAAACCTCTTCAGGCCCGATGAGCTGCTCCTTTGATCTGTAATGGTTTGCATATGATGTTGTTAGGGGAAAAAAAGTGCATCTTATTGCTAGCAGATCTGAGCAAAACGGACTTTTGTACTCGGGCTTAATAAGTAATRGAATTAATAAGATCTGGTAGGAATGAAAGCCTTTCCCTGCTTGTCACACTGTTATACAACAGCGGCAGGACTAGCGTTCTGCTACTAATAATGGTTTGCATTCCTGTATGGCTTTAATCTGAGGAGCTCAAAGTTCTCCTGGAGCAATAAGAATTTAAGCTCACTCCTCCAGAGCGAGACTGTGCAGCCTCTAATTGGACACGTGCATAAACAGGCACCCTGCTTTTCAGAGATGATCAGTGCCYGAGTTGCACCTTTGTGCCTGTTCCTGCACAGCGTGTGTCTATGAGAGCCTCCCTGAGTCCAGGCACCCAGTTTTGTGCATACGGTTGTGTGTCTAAGTGTGAGCGTGGCTGTGCAGACATGGCAAGATGAGAAATACAAGATTTCATGCTTGCATTTTCCCTGGGGGTCGTGCTCACTCTGCTGATTCAGTGGTCTCTTTTTACCAGTTCTGATCCTTCCCAGCACTTGTTTGCCTGTGGTCGCGATGTGAAGAGAGGCCCAGCATCACACGGCTAGTGCACGCCAAGGGGTGACAAAGCCCAGGTGCACTGGCTGCTAATTCTTCCTTTCAGCCCTATTCCATCCCCTCAGTGATACCGCTTCCCGTATAAATGATGGAAGGGCTTCATTCCTCCTTTTAATTTTACCCTCCTGAAAGCTTGAGTCCTATCTAAAAGTTAGGTGCCTCAGCTAGGAGAGCACCCCAGGAGGGTGGTTTGTACCATGTCTCCCAAGTTATCTAAGCCAACGGAGAAAGCCCACGGGTTGSCTTTGGGACAAGGAGGGAGCCGCAGCTTCCCTTGGAGCTGCCCAGCCTGCCGGTGAGGACGGGCGCACACAGCAGCAGCGCCAAAGCCACCTCCGTGCAGGAGGCAGCGCCGCGATGCTTGTCGATATCAAACCCACTCATCCTGTGCCCTGCTTTCTCCCCGCTCGGCGCAGGATGCGGGCCGCGGCGGCGGCGCTCTCCGCGGTGCTGACGCTGGCGCTGGCGCRGGGCGCGCTCGCCTGCCCGCCGCCCTGCGCCTGCTACGTGCCCGCCGAGGTCCACTGCACCTTCCGCTCCCTGGCCGCCGTGCCCGCCGCCATCGACCGCCTTGTGGAGAGGATCAACTTGGGGTGCGTATCCGGCGCCGCCTGCCGCCCTTCCCAGCGGGGCCTGCGGAGATGCCGCCCGGATGGGGCAGAGCGCCTCTGCTCCCTTTGTTCTTTCTGTAATTTTATTGAAAAATAAGAAAGCAGAGAAGACCCTACTGTGAGATTTGTGCTGAATGTTGAATGTGCTGCCTAATGTATAAAAACGCGATGATAGGAATAGATTCCGTAACAGAGCCAGGTGGCATCTTAGAACACATTGGGATAATGGGGTAAAAATTAGCTATTACACTGCCATTAGAGCTCCTTTTTTAATTTTTTTTTTTTACCCCCCCACCCCCAAGGAACTTAATTTGAGTATAAGCAGACACTTTTTTTTAAGACAACATTTTTTTTATTTTAATTTCCCTTTCTGCTTGGCATGGACAGTTTGTGCATAGCATACTGCAAAGTGTTTAGTGTAGGACATAACATGGAAGAAGGGTCTCAGTTCTCTTCTACCTGGTACTAGGGCTGCCTCCTTCTTTGGTATAAACCCTCATGCAAAATTGCCTGTAAACTGTAAGTGATCATGTTATGACTGGTAATAGTGACAGTAGCAGTGATTAAATTACTTCTTTGCAATTTTAACTGTCTCTCATATGTCGGTGCTTTATTTACCTAAAGCCTCATTTTATTCTCAAAATGCCCTCGTMCTCAGCATAGTTTTATTACAGAAATCTGATTTTTCCTACTGTTTTGATCCAAGCAACTTAATGGAGTTATGTATCAGTGGAATGATGCATAATGGTGCAGTTCCTTCCCTGTGGAATGGGTGTCCAGTCAGGTCCCCCTAACTGTAGTGTGAGGGATGTTCTCAATATTGGAGTTATGTATCAGTGGAATGATGCATAATGGTGCAGTTCCTTCCCTGTGGAATGGGTGTCCAGTCAGGTCCCCCTAACTGTAGTGTGAGGGATGTTCTCAATATTATTTCAGGCCATATGTTATTAGCATAATTATTAACAGTCCCCCCTGAGAAGCTAAAATTATATACAGAAAGAAGTGTGAGTCAATCTTAAGCTAAACACACACGAAGTATGTGTGAGTATTACTCACCAAGGAGAGTAATTTCAGCAAGTTCATTTAAAAGTTGTTGCCAAAGAAGCTGCAAAACAGAGTCGCCAAATTATATCCAACAGTGTGTTTGTCTCCAGTTGGCCTTATGTATCTTGTAGACCTTTGATAGAAAGAAAATACTATAGAWCATACCTAGACATCCATGTCCTTGTTTCCCTCTGGATCGCCTTTCTTAAATAAATACTGTGTATCTACAAATTGTATCAAGGTGCACCCCCACCAGCCTTTTTGCTTCATATTAAAAAACATATTCACATTCACTTTTCCTGCCTGTGTCAATACGGGGTGCCAAGTTATTTTTCTTAATTTCTTTCAGAGGTGGGATGTGTGTGTCTAAGTTACTTAAGCATGTTGTAGGTTTTATCTTGAGAGCTATTTTTAAACAAAAGTGCATTGTTTGATACTGTTGGCATAAAAGCCCTTTCCTGTCTTTTTGTATTTCTTTGCTACCAATTGCATTTTCTGAGAGTTTTTTTTYGCTGAGAAGAAATGCTGTTCCCTATCTCATGATGCCTGTCATTCACTCTAGAAAAAGTACTTTTAACATTTTTCCACTTCAAATAAGTGATACAGATTTAAGATATCTAACTGGAAACACTTTATGAAAATTCCCTATTTAGCAAAGTTCAGATGCTCTAGAAGAGTGATGTTGMAATAAAGATTTTAAATAAGATCTCTGATATTAGCATAGTAGAATTTTGATAGGACTAAACATAAAAAAAACAACCTAAAATTTTACCAGTCATGAACCTTCACATAGATGACAGGAAAGGATTTCTCCATACACAAAGTACTTTAGTGTCTCTGTCATTCTCTTTCTCTCCCCACTTCCTGCCTAGAAGAAAAAGTATTAAAAATAGGGRGGGAAAAAGCTTTAAAATTAAATGTTTAATTTAAAGTCTTCATGTCCASATTAGCTCATACATTGAATTTTGTGTCTGCACAAGGAAAACCCAAATGTAGAACTAGGCAGCCAAGCTTAAAGCTTCCATATTGGYAAATAAAACCTGATTTATTATTCCAGCAAGCAAATTGAATTGTTTTCAATAAAGCAGATATTTCATATTACTTCTCTGAGAAAAGTTTCCATGCTCAAAGTATGTAATTGGAAGGTGAGTTCCTGGATTTGTGTCATTAATTGATATAGCCAGTTACACATTATAACACTAAGCAAAGCGGGTTGTGACTTTCTGCTTCTAGTGCTTTTTGGGACGTGTCTATTTTTAATATCCTCTTTGCAAATTTTTATTCATTTATTGTTAGATGCTGTTTTGGCAACACTGCAGCCCATCTAGTTTGCCAGGCTCCATAGCATCATTTGTTGGCTGAAGGCCATTAATTTATTACCATTCCATAAACTGAGCTGCATGGAAAAGCATACTGACAGCTCTTAGAAGTTAAATGCTTATTTATTGCTCTTACTTTTAAATTATGGTTAAAATGGCACAAATTAAGTTAAAAGAAAACTTAATGTAAACATCAACTAAGTATGCTTGGCCTTGTAAAAATGTTTCGGTAACTTTTGGCCCTTGGACAATGCATTAAGATCCATCCATTTTTTTCCTGAAAGTTAGAGTAGACTAGTTTTACATTTGTGGTCCATGACAGTCAGTGCTTAAAATGTTGTGATTTTTTTTCCAGGTTTAACAGTATACAGTCCATATATGAAAACTCCTTTGCAGGACTCACAAAACTGGAATTGCTCATGATTCATGGAAATGACATTCAGAATATTCCTAATGGTGCTTTGAAAGATCTGGTGTCTCTACAGGTAAGGCTCAGATATTTCTAAATAGCATAAGTTACAGCTCCCATGACTGACAGAAGACAAAAAAGTGTTTATCAATTAMGTTATCTTTTTTTTCCTGAAATGTATTGGGAATATCTTAATGTGCATGTGTGCCATGTTTGATGATGTCAACTGATATTTAGCGACAGTCTCATCAGTGATTTTTCTGTTGAAAAAATGACAGAATATTTGCATGTCAGAGGAGAACTTTTGCACAGTCATTATTACATTTGGATTTATGTATAAAACCGGCTGATTTCATTTTATTCTCCTTTTTAGGTTTTCAAAATTAGTTACAATAAGTTGAAAGTCATAACAAGCCAAACGCTTCAGGGACTTTCAAGCCTGATGAGACTCCACATGGACCACAACAGAATTGAGTTTATTCATCCAAATGCTTTTAATGGATTAACTTCTCTAAGATTGGTCCATTTGGAAGGAAATATGCTCCAGCAGCTTCACCCCAGCACATTTTCAACATTTATGTTCCTTGATTATTTCAAACTGTCAACAGTAAGACATCTCTACTTGTCTGAAAATGCTATTAGTACCTTGCCTGAAGGGATATTTAAGGGCATGCCACTGCTGGAAAATCTTTACCTTCATGGGAATCCATGGTCCTGTGACTGCGACTTAAAGTGGTTCCTTGAATGGAATGAAATGTCTGCAGGTAGGTGTGAAAATATCAATCYTTCTTCAGTTCATAATGCTCATGTCCTTTCTTTTGTTCTTATGTTCTGCATATTTGCATACCTTTGTTATTTATTGTAGGTGTTTGCTGAGAATATTTAAAACAGTTGGCTACTAACTGTGCAGTGCCTACACAGTGCCTGTGTGCACTATTGAATTCCTTTACCAGCTAAAACATGCAAGCATTTAAAAAGTAATGCAAGAAGGGAGTAATTGTGTGTCAATAACTACAATTCATTGTTCAACAATAAAGAATTGGTAATCACATTCAAAATGAAAAGGCTGATAGTAAAGTTTGTAATTGGTAGTAGGAAGCTGTTAGTGTGCTCTTTAGCACAGCGGTACAGCTTTGGCAACGGMTTGGCAATTACCCTCAGTCAAAAAGGTTATTAACAAAGCACTCTCCTGGGAGGTGAAAGTAATTGGATTTGGACATTTTGGACTAAGGACGTAATGGAAACCAAATTTMTAGGTTCCTGGATGAGTCCTCTTTAAGACCATTAAGTTTATAGCTATTACATAACATATGGACATCCTTCTTTCATGCCTGTGCTTTTTTATTGACTGCAACTTCATTTTGTGGGGAAGCCAACTGTTTTAAATATTCTCAGCAAACACCTACAATCCTGCCAGTTTTTCAGAGGAAGATAGATCTTCGTTCAGGCTTAGATGTGAAATGAATTAACACAGAGCTAAAGGTAGATTTTTTTCTGGACATGTGCAGAAGCAAGTTATCATACAAATCGTGTCTTTTATGATGTCCCTAGCTCAGTAGTTCACTGACTGGTTTGGGGGATGTCAGTTTTGCTGCATGAATATCATTCCACCAACACTCCATATCAGGTAGGTTAGTGCTTGCTGCAGTAGCCCAGGGAGACTGAGACAATATTAGAAGAGAATTGATATTTAATTGTGACTACAAATACATTAGATGATTCCTGGAGTCACAAGGCTTATGTAGTGATTTGAAGACCATGATGGTGGGTCTTGTGATCTTAGAATACATAATCCATTGCAGTTTTGCACTTAAAAGAGTATGTGATATTTTAGTGTGTATTATAAGTATTCCTGATTGAACTAGTAGCTGAAGCATATAAATTTGACTTTAACTATTTTACATGTTGATGTTCTTATATATGCTTCCTGATTCMAATTAGTAGATATATTAACTGCACACTACTGTGTGCAGTTCTGGGCACCCCAGTATAAGAGGGACGTGGAGCTTCTSRAGAGGGTCCAGAGAAGAGCAACCARGATGATTAAGGGAATGGAACATCTCTCGTAYGAAGAGAGGCTGAGTGAGCTGGGCCTGTTTTCTCTGGAGAAGAGAAGGCTGAGAGGGGATCTGATTAACATGTATAAGTTCAGGAAGGGAGAATGCAGGGAGGAAGGGGACARGCTGTTYTCACTGGTGGCCAGCGATAGGACGAGGGGTAATGGCCAYAAGCTGGAGCACARGAAGTTCCRTCTCCAGGTGAGGAGCAACTTCTTTCCTGTGAGGGTGACAGAGCAGTGGAACAGGCTGCCCAGGGAGGYTGTGGAGTCTCCTWCTCTGGAGGTCTTCAAAACCSGCCTGGATGCCACCCTGTGCCACATGCTGTAGGTGTGCCTGCTTGAGCAGGAAGGTTGGACTAGATGATCTGTAGAGGTCCCTTCCAACCTTRAATATTCTGTGATTCTGTGATTCTGTTAAATGATTTGAAGGTGCACTCACTTCAAGTCAGAAGGATGAAATATTTAATTAAAATTMTTTTTCCTCGCACAGTGATGGTTTGCTGTGATTTTATTCTATTATATTCCTCTTCTAAGCTACAACAGTGATTTTTGGAAAGAGAAAGGAATTTATCCCTGCCATTTTCACATACAACAAGATTTGTATCTTTATACAGCTATAACCTTGGCTCCTTTGGAAATTCTGTCCCTGACAGTGTGGAGTCATAAAAGTGCTGTTTTAGTGATCACTTAAAAATTCTTCTGAAGAGTACAGTAACTTCCAGGTTGATTATGTGCCAGTTCTGTCATGAGAAGTGCTTTCCTTGTCTTTGAAACATGATGTTTCAGTCTGAAAATAATGGACTGGTTCAATTAGAAATTCCATTTCTAGGAACTTCTGATGAAAGTAGATTTGTCAAATGGACAAAGCAAGTATTTTCCAATTTAAAAATGGCTATGCAATTTTGCCAGGCCTTCTTTTACCCTTCTCTTACCATTAATATTGGTAATAATACTTCTGGAATAACATTCCCTTCTCCACCTTTGTATTGTTCATTCATTCATTCAGAGATCTTTCATTCCTCAAGGGTGATCAAATGATACCTAGAAAGTCTGGGGTACATTTTATTTACATTGTGTTTACAAACTAAATTTGTAAGGCAATGTTTGACATTATAATAAGCAGAACAACATAACCAAATACATGTCTGTTATTTTGCAGACGAGTCTTTCTGGCATTGATAGGAGAAAGGAGTCAAGGGTATTATTGATTGTGTTTTGGGTTTTTTTTAAATTATTTCCTGCTTTAGCACTCCCTCTCTGTTTTAGTTTTTTATTTTATTGTTAAAGAGATTGGAAGTGTTGTAGAGGTCCTACAGGAACTAATCAGCGGATTTTGGCAGCTGCAGTAGTATGTTTTGTGTTTTCAGTACAGATTGTAAGATATGAACAGTCTGCTAGAGTATTAATGAGCATGTCCATCATTTCTTACGTAAATGCTGCAGTTTTAAAAAATGAGTGGATGCAGTCCTCTTTATGGCCCACAACTTAGGTGGGTATGTTCTCACTATGCRTATGGGTTTTTGTGGACACAGTGTATTTTTTTTTTCCAGACATTTAAAAAGTAGCTCTAGACACATCAATTTCTGGGCATTTTCTTCAGAAGCGTTGAATCTAATTTTTAGAAGGAGCATTCAAACCTCTCATTAAAGTTAGAGGAAACTGTGCTCACTCAGTGTGACAATCAGGTCCATTCAATGTGAAAACAAAGAAATGCCAATTTAAAAACCTTGCAATGCCTTAAATTTCAATTTAGAAACCTTGTCATAAGTTTCCTGCAGTATAATGTGTTCTTTGTGTGGTCATTTGACCCTTTTAAGAGTTCTGTAACTCCTGTTATTCCTGGTTAATTCAGGAGCTTATCTCTTTCTTTTCTTAYAGGTGTTCTAAAATGCAAAAAGGACAAAGCCTATGAAGGGGGACAGCTCTGTCCTAAGTGCAGCAGCCCGAAACAGCTGCAGAAAGAAGATATTCAAAATTTGAAAGATATTTCCTGTAGAAAACCTGTCATTCAGTCCTCACTGAGGCAGAATAACAGCACTCAAGAAGAAGAAGAGAGTGACAATTACGAGCTCCCTTTGGAAGAGTTTCAGTCTTCTCCATGGAATATTACTCTGAATATGACCGATGAGCATGGCAATGTAGTGCACCTGAACTGTGAAATCAAGAAACCAACAGGATCTACCAAAATTCAGTGGAGTCAAATCCAGACTCAAGAAATTGATATAAATGCTTCAATTTCATTGGATTTTGAATGTCCAATGAATCGAGAAAACTATGAAAAATTATGGAAGCTTATAGCTTATTACAGTGAAGTGCCTGTCAAACTAGAGAGGGAGCTTATGCTCAGCAAGGAGCCTAAAGTGAGCTATCGGTACAGGCAAGGCTCGGATTATGATGCTCTCTACTACACAGGTGTTAAAGCTCAAATACTCTCTGAACCATCCTGGGTAATGCAACCTCTAATAAATATCCAATTAAACAGACGCCAAAGTACAGGGAAAAAAGTGGTACTATCTTTTTTTACTCAGTTTTCTCAGATAATTCATACCAAAGACATTAGGCAGCAGAGAAGCTGGGTAATGATAGAGCAAAATGCTAGCACAAGGGTGGCGCAGAGTGTGGTGGAAGGGTCAGAGTGTCAGCTGAGCTGCAATGTGAAAGCATCTGAAAGCCCCTTCATTCAGTGGCTCTTTCCAGATGGCACTAAATTGCAGGCACCATTTAATCAGAAAGACAGTAGGTTTTCCATTCTCAGTAGTGGCCAGCTAATAGTCAAAGGAGTGAGTTACACTGATGCTGGTCTGTATTACTGCATTGCCCAAGTGAGAGATGATGTGGACGTCATGGCTTACAGACTATTAGTGCAATCACCATCTATCCAGCCAGCTGATACAGATGTAGTGAGAGTTGAAAAAAATGTTGGAGATCCAATAGTTTTGCCTTGCAATGCAGTTGCCATTCCTGAGGCACAGCTGAGCTGGATTCTTCCAAACAGTCGTGTGCTTAATGATTTATCAAACTCATCAAAAGGATATGTGTTGAACAACGGTACTTTGCTTATTTCAAAAAGCCATGTCAGTGATAGTGGCTATTACAGATGTGTGGCTGTCAATCTGCACGGATCAGATCAGTTTGCTATAAGGGTTATGGTAAACAAAATGGTGTCTGACAGGTCGTTTAGGAGGATAAAACTAAAAAAGCGCCCGAGTTCAAAAAGTTCATCAAAACCAAGAATACGGGTAATAGAGGATGGAGAGGGATCAGGAGTAGGAGGCGTGGATGATACCACACAAAAAAAGCACCATCTGAAAGACTGGGAAATACCCTTTAAACAAAGAAGTGACAAGGTGTCAGAGACTCAAGGTAAAAAGGGGAGGAAGGGCAGAAGGAAAATGAAGATCTGGAAAGGAACTGATAGAATCCAGGAGAGCAACGTTGCAGAAGGCCGAAGAGTATTTGAATCTCGAAGGAGAATTAATATGGCAAACAAACAGATTAATCCACAGCATTGGGCTGACATTTTGGCAAAGGTCCGTGGGAAAAATCTTCCTAGAACAACAGCAAYAGCCATTTCTTTAACGACTGCACTGCCATCAGCCATGCAGAAAACAACCCCAGTCCCTCGCCTGGCCGCAAGCCCTCCTCCTGCTGCGGGGGCAGACGCTGATGTGGTGGATTCCTCTGCCGATGCATCGCCCCTGGGTGAAGAGGAGCCGCTCTCAGTCACTGTTGCCCACAGCACTAGAGCATTTTCAGCCCAATCCCTATTAACAAAATTGGAAACAGAACCCTTCTCTGACCGTAGCGCTTTAGCAACACCAGCAAGTAAATACCCTGCAGAAACCCCTATAGCAGATCCATATTCTTCTCCTGAATCTGTATCTGTGCAACTCCAAAGTCAACAGCAACCCAACGTCAAGACTGATTATTCACTTGTAGTCAAAGAAAATATCCATGCTCTCACTGAAGAACCTCCAACTAAACAATTAGTAACTAACTTCCCTAATATCCAGAGCGGTTTGCCCTCAGAAGAAAATGGAGCTACCACTGTACCTTATACATCAGAGGAAAATTCTGCTTTTGCTGAGCTGCCGCTGGATGCTACTGTCCTAGCTGAATCTCAGGTTCTAGATCAGCAAAGCATCCTGGAGACAGATGTGAAGATAGATGAAGTGAACCCTATGGGTGTAGACAGCATAATTTTCACACCTTCCAAGTTGGACAGGATAATCTCAACAGATACCAGAGCCACTACTTCTTCATCTGTTTCTCCATTTGTTACAGAAAAGAGCAGTGACATGATACACCAGCACACAGAAGTATCCACAGGTCAGATTAAAACTGCAGAGTTGGATAAAAATTATCATGCGGTCACATCCCACAGTGTGCAGAGCAGGAAAGATCAAGAGACAGCAGCAGAACATAGAAACCTACCTGCTCCAAAAATAGATCCTACATTCACTTCAACAAGCGCTCACGTTCCTCATACAAAAGCAGACGGGATACCAGTTGCTGCTTCCATCGGCAAGTTGACCACTGTGGCCACAACAACAGCTCCCTATAGAACAACTGCATCTTCTAACTTACTTGTTACTCCACATGCTAGAAAAAGGCCTTATGGGAGAAGGAGACTGAGGCCAAACAGAATCCGGCAAAGACAAAGACCCCGTCCTGTTTTAACCACAGAGAGAATGCCTATCATCCCAAGGACATCCAATGTTGAAGCTATTACCAAAAGTGTCTCGGCACCTCTTGATGGTGATCGTATAACTGATGGCAAAATGCATACAAAAGAAAAGGAACACTTGGAAGTTAGCCCTTCAGGAGTTACTGACCCAGTTGTCTTTGAGAAGGTGACCAGAATCAGACAGAGGGTCACAACTTCTCTTTCCAGGGCTACTGTTTCTCCACCTGAAACAAAGCCTGTGATAGCTCCTACTGCTTCAGAAACCTTGGCACTTCCAGTCCCTGCCCTTACCACAACCTTATCCTCCTCTGTTGAACATAACACAGTTCCTACCACCAAGTCATATGAGGCCCAGAAACCTGAGCAAAATAACATACCAACATACCACTCATTAGACCATATGTCTGAAGGAAAAGGCACTAAAGTAGATTTTGAGGTTACAGATAGTAAGACAGAACAAGGACAGTCAAGGACAACAGCTTCTCCAGAGCGTATGAGCACCTTAGAAGTATCTACGAAACCTGGTTATCCAGAATCTCAAGAAGAATCTACTCTTTTTGACTCGGAATCTGTGGCTAGTGACATCACCACTAGAGCTTTCAAGCTGATATATCCCACAGTAGCAGACTTAAGTATTCCAGTTGGGACAACGGAAGTTCTTGAGGACCCTTCAGTTTTAGAAGAGGCACAGAATCCTATAATACCTTTAAAACCACCTGCAATGACTGAGCCACCTCAGCAACAAGAAATTCTGACTTTGTCCTCTTTCAGCACAACTGAAAAGCAAACTTTTCCACTGAGAGAAACAAGTAAAATGGTTGCTATTCCTTCTCAGACTGAGACAAAAACATCTTCCCTGGATAAAACAGAATCTGTATCACATGTATTTCGTGATGATCTCATTGTGCAGACAACTGAAAAGCCTCCAACTACACCCACTGCCTTGGACCCATTTACAAAACTTGCTACTCTTTCCCCATCCATTTCAAGCACTTCACATCCATCTGTTTATTACAACACCAAGGATAGTAATGCTTTCAATCAAATAAGGTTTCTAGAGACAAAACAAGTCGACAGAGACAGTGGCAGAATGATGGTGAGCTCCAAACAGAATGCATACCTTACTCCATCCTCTAATCAAAACAGGATTAGTGTGCAGTCTAAAGAGGAGCCATTCCAAGAGACGCATAGTAGCAGGTCAAACAACAGTTTATTGCTAAATCTGAACCTTCCCCGTTCACCAGCTGGAATGATACCAAGCCTAAGACTGCCTGAGGTGCCTCCAAGGCATGTTCCAGCAAGAGGCACGGCGAAGCCTCCGTATATTATAACTCAAGGCTCGTTTCGTTATTTTATAACACACCAGCCGCTTCACTACACAAACAAGCCAGAGATAACAGCATATGCTGCACATACTACCCAGGACAAAAAACACACTGCCTCTCAAATAGGCGCAACAACCACAGCACCAGCCACTCCATTTTACAGGACAAATCCACCCACTGCAAGCAAATTTGGCAGTCAAGGTCAGAACAGATACAATATTAATACAAGATTTTTTGGCAGTAACTACCTCCCAGAAAACAGAGGTACAGCGGGGAGACAACCAAGTCAAGGGATCCCCTACCATCCCAATTCCAGAACGGTGTTCCCTCTTAATCGAACAAGGATATTCCCTCACTTAGGAGTGCATCCTAAACTGCTGGTCCCTGGTCAACAAATCCCAGAGGATGCAAATGAGAAGAAAATTGATGAGGTCTCACCTACCACGATTGCAGTGCAGAGAGCTACAGCTCTTGCAGTGCCTCCGTTGCCACACACCACAACCAGCGCATCAGCGCTGCTGCCGGCGTTGAAGACTGCCACCTCAGCCTTTGTCCCTCAGCACACCAGGCAACCTATATCCACTACAGTTCAGCCTTTTAAAAGTATCCATGATCGCCATCAGAAGGCACCATTTGTGCCTTATGTGAGTGGCGGAATGCCACACAATTCCACCATAATTCAGTCCCCCACGAGTTTCAAAACGCTGGGAGAGAAACCTAAAATTATCACAAAAGGTTCTCATGGCATAACCATCCTTGCTGAAACAGATGCTTTTATCCCTTGTGAAGCAGTAGGGGAACCCAAACCTTTTCTTACTTGGACAAAAGTCTCTACAGGTAAGACGCTTACAAATGTGTTTTTCCATGCAATTTTAGGGATACAAATACTTGGATTATCATATAGAAATGCACTACTTTTGCAGGAGTAGTCCAGAACACTGAGTAACCCTGTTAATTTAAAATACTTTTTGTCTGTTTAGTCTATTAGTGGCTAATAATTATAGATTAAGTTGTATTTCTTATAGTAAAAGAAAACCACTAGKATTTAATGCATCTGTTTTTTGTGTATCAATTTTTATGTCTATCTCCTTCAGCAAAAGGTAAAGCTAAATTATGTGAAGTTTTAATGGAAATCACAAAGAATAAAGCTTTGAAACATTCCCACACTGTGCAGATTTGCAAGTTAGTATAATTTTGCAGTAGAAATAAAGACTAATCTGAATGGTGTGCARTAACTGAAGGTATAGTATGACTCATCTGACGTAGTAGCTAGTATTAAGTAGTTTTGTTCTAATAAATCTTCCATCAGCCTTTTTCAAAGCAGTGGTGTATGTCTTAAAAGCAAAACTTTTGATGTTCTGTTTCTTTTTTTTCTCTCACCTTTCCCAGGTGCTCTAATGACAGCCCATACAAGATTACAAAGGTTTGAAGTCTTGAAAAATGGCACTTTGGTTGTCCGAAATGCTCAGCTCCAAGATCGCGGGCAGTATTTGTGCACTGTTCAGAACCTGCATGGCCTAGACAAAATGATTGTTGTCCTTTCAGTCGTAGCCCACCAGCCTAAAATTCTACTTCCCCGCTATCGAGATGTCACTGTATATTTTGGAGAGACTGTAGCAATGGAGTGTCAGGCTAGTGGGATTCCAAGCCCACATATTTCATGGATTTTCCCAGACAGGAGGATTTTGCAGAGAACTAGCACTACAGAAAGCAGGGTGATGCTCCACGAAAATCGAACCCTGTCTATCAAGCAGGCGTCCTTTTCAGACCGCGGAGTGTACAAATGCGTAGCTAGCAATGCCGCGGGGGCTGACAGCGTCGCAGTGAGGCTCCACATCGCAGCCTTGCCCCCTATCATCCAGCAGGACAAGCAGGAGAACATTTCCTTGCCCCATGGTAGCAGTGTCAACATCCACTGCACTGCCAAAGCGGCGCCTTTTCCCAGCATCCGTTGGGTGCTTTTCGATGGCACGCAGATCCGACCGTCCCAGTTTGTCAATGGGAATTTATTTGTTTTCCCCAACGGGACTCTTTACATTCGCAACGTCTCTCCCAAGGACAGCGGGAGCTACGAGTGTGTCGCGGCGAACATGGTGGGAGCCGCCAGGAGAGCAGTGCAGCTCCACGTGAGGAAGCAGGCGTCCAACGCCAAGATCACCGGGAGTTCTCCTCTGAGGACCGATGTAACGTACGGCAGCGTTCTGCGTCTGGACTGCAGCGCTTCTGGCGACCCCTGGCCTCGGATATTATGGAGACTGCCATCCAAGAGGATGATTGATTCCCTGCACAGGTAAATTACGGTCATCCGAGGTATTACACCTCCGTTGTAGCTTCAGTGGGTGTAGAGAAAAGGTCGTTTGTATCTGTACAAGTTTCATTCTTAACTTCAGTGGGTCCCTCGGTCCTTAAAGGAGGAATTTAAAATGATACCAAAAGATTCCAAATCACAACATCTTTTGCCTGAAAACATTACTRCTTTTGGAAAGGCATCTTCATATTTAAAGGATAAGTTGTCACTGTATGTTTTTTTTGCAGAGAGTCGGTAACTACAGTAGCAAGTCCAGTGACAAAATAGACACCATATGTGCTACTTGCTTCAATAACACCTGATTTCATAATTAAGAATTGCATAGGAACCTGTTTCTMCCCAAGAGAAACGGGATCATTGATCTCCATTGTACAAGTTATTGTGCGCTATCTCAGTGGAAAAATAAATCATTTTTTCTAAAGTAGCAGAGTCATTTAATACTGTTAAATAAATAAATGCTATCTTGTAATAAGTCATATTGCATATGGATACTTGAAAAAATCATCTCTCGTGTTCATGAAATAAAGCAAAATTTCTATTGTGAAGAATAGCAATAGCTGTCCTAAGAGTCTGTGCTGAAACTCAATTTCTGCTCTATAAATTATTGATTTGTCACTCTTGGAGCACTTTAGATAAGGAATATATTCACATTACAGTGCTGACTTAAAAACGGCTTTCTCAGTAGCTGAACACAATCGTACTGATAGAAAATATAATTAGGTAGCCTGTAGATATCACAGAMTCCAGAATTCATTTTGTACTTCACTGATAACAACAAAATAAGTTTGTCATTTTCTCTCTTAATCTTTGTGTGGGTTGTTCTTCAAATACCACAGTTCTTTACTTTGGAGAAAAAACCTGTGGGGCTTCTGAGTGAAGTGAATTTTGATCACCTTGTGCCATACTAAAATGGAAAGGAACAGTAGCTTTTTATCACATTGAAAAAAATCTTTTCTTCCAGATTTCAGAACTAAAGGTTTGAAATAACTGTAATAATGTTTACTAATACTGTTTATTATTGAATCAAAATGTTTTGCTTCTTTGAGTTTGCTTCTTTGAGTTTGTCCTGAATATATAAAATGCAGTACTTGAGGTTACAGAAAATAGCTAGTCCTTGTTTTAATTAAGGGCCTTGAATTAAGGTAGATCTGAAATTATAATCTGTATAGGTTTGTGTACAGTATGTCATTCAGAGATCCCATGTTTGAATGTTACTACAGAATGGTAGAGATGAAGCTCTGGAAATCTGTACATACAGATCAGAAGGGTCAAAAATAACGCATTTAAGTCTTGGAAGACGGTTGCACATTGTTTGGTGGCACACAAGCAGAATTATTTTTCATTTGCTTTGGATGGGGAATAGCTTGGACATTTCTGATCATTTAATTATCTAGCTGTAGCTAATGGTTAGTTTTTGTTCATACAGTGGGGTGGTTGTGSGTTTTTTCAGTTTACACTGAATAATTAATTCCTAAAACCTGATTTTGCAGTTCATGTCCTGTTCTCTTTCCTCACAGCAGCTTGGAGACTCGAGTCAAAGTGTTCAGCAATGGGACTTTGGTTGTCCATTCAGTCACAGATAAAGATGCGGGAGACTACTTGTGTGTGGCCCGCAATAAAATTGGGGATGACTATGTGGTCCTCAAAGTGAATGTGATGATGAAACCAGCCAAAATAGAGCATAAAAATGAGAAAAACCATAAGGTCAAGTACGGAGGGGACCTGAAAGTTGACTGCGTAGCCACAGGTCTGCCGAATCCAGAGATCTCCTGGGGTCTGCCCGATGGCAGCATGATTAACACCTTCATGCAGTCGGACGACAGCGGCAGCCGGACCAAGCGCTACGTCGTCTTCRACAACGGGACCCTGTATTTCAATGACGTTGGCCTGAGAGAGGAAGGGGACTACACCTGCTACGCGGAGAACCAGATCGGGAAGGATGAGATGAAAGTGCGCGTCAAGGTGGTGGCTGAGCCAGCAGCCATCAAGAACAAAACATAYGTTGTCATCAACGTGCCCTATGGCGATGTCGTCACCGTGGCGTGTGAAGCCAAAGGGGAGCCCACTCCCAAAGTGACGTGGCTCTCCCCCACCAACAGGCCCATTCCTGCCCTATCCGACAAATACCAGGTGTACAGGGATGGCACCCTCCTCATCCAGAAGGCTCAAAGATCTGACAGCGGCAACTACACTTGTGTTGTGCGGAACAGTGCTGGAGAAGATCGGAAAATAGTCTGGATCCAAGTTAACGTACGGCCTCCCCGAATCAATGGGCATCCCAATGCAATAACTTACGTGAGGGAGACTGCCATGAGAGACAGTCGGAAACTTATTGATTGTAAAGCTGAAGGTATCCCAGCTCCACGGGTCTTGTGGTCTTTTCCAGAGGGGGTGATCCTGCCCGCTCCCTACTATGGGAACAGGATCACCGTGCATCGCAACGGCACGTTGGACATCAAAGAGGTGAGGCAGACGGATGCAGTGCAGCTCATCTGCATTGGGCGGAATGAAGGCGGGGAAGCGAGGCTCATTGTGCAGCTCCTCATCACAGACCATGTGGAGAAACCTTCCTTCAGAGACCCTGTCACTGAAAGGATCACTGCTATTGCTGGGCACAGCATCAATCTGAACTGCTCTGTCCAGGGGAACCCTGAGCCCAGCACAAGCTGGATCATCCCCAACGGCACCGAGATCCCCAGTGGCAGCCACCTGCACAGGTTTTACCACAAGAGGGACGGGATCTTGCACATCAGTGGTCTTTCCGCCGGGGATGCAGGGACTTACCGCTGCACGGCCAGAAACCCCGGAGGTTACGTGGAAAGGGTTGTCTTCCTGAAGGTGGGGCTCAGACCAGAAATCAGCAACCAGTACAACAACCTGGTGAGCATCATTAATGGGGAAACTCTGCAGCTCCACTGCATCACCCAGCCGAACCTGCGGGCACAGATCTCCTGGACCCTGCCCAACGGGATGGTCCTGGATGCTCCGCAGGCTGTGGGTCGCTTCTCCCTGCTGGAGAACGGCTCGCTGACAGTGCGCGAGGCTTCTGTATTCGACAGAGGCTCGTACCTGTGCAAGGTGTCCACAGAGTATGGCACCTCCGTGATGAACGTGCCCGTCATAGTGATAGCCTATCCTCCCCGCATCACCAGCGAGCCCGCGCCCGTCATCTACGCCCGCCCCGGAAATTCRGTGAAACTGAACTGCATGGCCATCGGGATTCCTAAGGCAGAAATAACGTGGGAACTTCCAGACAAGTCCCACCTGACAACAGGAGCTCAGTCTCGCCTGTACGGAAACAAATTCCTCCACCCCCAGGGGTCATTAGTCATCCAGCAGTCAGCCCAAAGGGATGCCGGCTTCTATAAATGCACTGCTAAAAACATACTAGGCAGCGATTCGAAAACGACCTACGTGCACATATTCTAACACTAAAGCAAGTGCCTTTGCCTGGGTGCTGATGTCCAAGTCACTGCCAAGCAAGTGCAACAAGGAAAGTACTGTTTGCAACAGAGCCAGGAAGTCTGAGGGCAGGAAAAAGAAAAAAAGATCATACATTTTCATATATTTCCAAAATTTTATAAATTTTTCAAAATTTTCATTTTTTTCAAAATTTTTATAAAATTCATAAATTTTAGATTTTCATACAAAATGCATTGCTTTTGTGTTCAACATGATAGTACTTTCCTGCAATAGAAGGAGGCAATAGATATATTTAAACTGAGGGGGCTAGCTTGTTGGGAAAGGTCTCTGAATTGTTAAGACAATGTTTCTTCATGCTATCCAATAGCACTCGAGACCTAAAATATTCTTATTTTTGTCAATAGTCCAAAGCTATCCCTTGTTTTAACAAGCACCTTAAAATTGCCAAAGAAGTATTAACTGTAATAAATGAGCTGCAGTGATAGAAGTGCTTTAGTATTTTGTTGGAGAGAGACACTTTTCTTTATCCCCTGCAGTGCTTTTACATAATCTAGCCTTATAGAGTATGATTACTAACTTTTCTGATCATTYTTCTATCAACTCTTCAAAATCAAAGACTAATTTAGCAAATAAGAGTAATCTATTTTTAATAAAAATAAATTCAGACATTAGTTACCGTAAGATATGAACAAACCTTCTTCAGCCACTAAGGATGCTTCAGTCAAATTCATGCATTATCTATTTTATATATATTTTTAAATCAGACTATGAGACTGGAAAGGTTAACAGTGAACTTGGTCTCATTTTATAAATTATTGGTCTTTACAAGACTCTGATACATTACAATGTTTTATAATGTTAAGGTCACTATACTGTACATTTTATAATAAAAAATATTTTCCAGAAATTCTGTTTACTGTGTTTTCATTTTGCCTTGAGAAGATAGACTAGTCCAGACACTGGGTGGATAAAGTTATCTAGAAAAATACAGTGTTATACATACTTTTTTTGTCTTACTAAACATGGTTTCATAATAACTTGACACTTTTGTTACATATATTTTAGGATACATGTACACGTGTCATGATTTTCTTAAAGTCAAAAATGGTTTATTTGGTCAACATATACTCATGTGATTTATCAAGTTCATGGGTTAAATTGTTGCTACAGGAAGCTGAATATGCCCATATTTTGAATAAACAGCTACAATAATTATGAAAAATTTGTCTACTTTACAACCTAAAGATTCGCTGAGATATTCCTGATTTCTTAAAAGTTCTCACTACTCATAAATTTTATGCTTGTGTCCTAAAAATATAAGGAAAAAAAAACACTTCATTTTGACCTCCTCTATTTATTGGTTGAAATGTAAGAGGAAGTAATACAAAAAGTTCTTTCAATATTTCATTCTGTAAAAACTATGAGCATAGTGATTTCCTCACCCAAAAAATTTATGCAGTTTAGGAAACTTGGGAAAACTGCAACCTGTCACAGAAAGCCTGCTTATTTTTGCTTGATGGTAAACTGAACCAAGCTGCTTGAAGGAGAAAGCATTTCAATGGTACAAGGACAATGAATCAAACCAGGAAATTGCTAAAAAGAGAGAAGGAATGTGGATTATGTGATAGAATRTTATATAAAATCTGTTTTAAAAGATCCAGTACAGGATAAAAAGTTCTGTTCTTTAACATTATGAATAACTATGTGTTCAGAGGCCTAATTAATTAACAATTGGGTCTTTGTTTCTCCTCTGTGGTGCAAGTCCTTGGACCCTAAATCAGCAATCAGTACTCAAAGTAAGGCACGTATCTAGCTGCCGAGCAGGGTTGGTGCTGCCARCCTGTGAGCTGTGAATGAAGGAAGGGGACAAGCACTGAACCCTCTGTTCCTGCTAGAGCTCTTTGCCATAAATGGGTCAGAGAGTATATGTCTGTAGTTCCTGTACCCACTTTTATCACATTGTTTCTATAGTAGTTCTTGGAAAGTCATAATATAAATTTTAATAGTAATAGTACATCTTTTAAAAGGGTCTGCACTCAGCATTTTAGCTTTGGAATAGAAATCAATACTTCCACGTATGTGGTAATAATTTCACGTAGGTGTTAACCGAAGACTGGACAAACAAACAAGACATATTCTTGGATGCTGAATAACTTCTATGTATCTCCATCAAACAGGASTTTTTTATGTTAAATAAATAAAATATAAGCCAAAATCACTTGTTGGAAATGTTGGAATCAAATGAAGCATCTTACAATGTTTTATTGACCATCTAGAATTTTCACTAATGCCAGTGGTGAAGCTCGAGTTAGAAGCTCGAGAAATCAAAGATTTGACTCAAAATATTTTTCTTATTCAGATCAAGACTTACATGCATAATTCACTCAAAATCAGACTTAACTTTTTAAATGTATTTTAATTCCCAAGGTATTTGCCTTGTTTTACTAAAACAGGCTACCAGTGAGAGACCTATAGCACACAGTTCTCTTCTAAAATAGAGCACACCTTTCACTCAAGCAGTGATCCATCATATGTCCCTTTTTTTTTTTATATATATATATTCCTGCTCTCATGTCAGGCTCTTTTTCTGATTTTGAGAGTCACTAGGAAGTAGATTGATTACTCTTGATGTAAGAAACTTCCACAAWTTTTACTTGATAAGTCAAAACAAGTCCTGGATTGTTTCTGTGGAAATGGAAACTTGTCATTCCTTACTCTCTGTTTTGAAAATAGGGCTAAAAGTTTTGTCTGACATCATGTTTCGAGAAGCAGAGTAACAAGATGTATCATTACAACTCCTTAGATTACAAATGATGGGAGTTGTAAATACATTTTTTTTCTTTGGCCTTTGTAGAAAGAGGTTAATTGTGACCATACCTATAACACAGCTTACAGTTAATAAGGAAAATGAAGGTAAGAAYACAGGGCAGAAAGGCAAAGAAGACCATGTTGAATTACAGATATTTATGTCATCAAGATCTGATAAAATTCCTAATATAGAGAGAAACATATAAATATATATATAATAGCCAAATCAGTTATACATTTAATTTTTATCTTCAAAAGTTCGTAAAAGACAAATGAGGTACAAGAATACTGAGGAAATGCTAAAACTAATCAAATTTWAAACATTAACTCTGATAACAAGAAACATATTTAATTCATTACTAAGCAATCAATCTATGAGCATGTTTAGGATAGTACAGTGATAAGATGCCACAGCTCTGAGAGTTTCCACAGCAAACCATATGATATTATCATATAAACTTAGCCACTTTCTTACAAAGGACTAGAGGGCTAGAGTATGGGAACAGTTAGCAAGATATATCTTACCTTAGTAGAATTTTTTACATAGTCCTACAGGATTTTCTTATGTGCAAAATGTAGAAATATGATCTACATTAATCTATTACTAGATTACTAATAGAAATAGTAATAGATAACTAATCTATTACTACAGCTACAAAAAGCAGTGTAGTTAACATGAAACTGAGAATTTGAAGCACAAAGGACAGTATTACAGATCATAATGGTCTTTCTAGATGAGAGAAATGGTTGGAAATCAATAAAATTCACTCAATAAAGACAAATGAATTATATTCAGAAGGCAGAAACTGAGTATAGATAAGAAAAAAAATAGTGAGAAAGCAGTAGGAAAGGCACAAGTTAGTGTGAGGCTATTTGAAACACAGCACTGTCACTTTGAAATCTACTCGCAGATGGGCTGTGTGAAGCCCATAATAGAAATAATTACTCTCTTTCCAGCCAGGCTGAAATAGAAGCAAACTATAACAAATCCAAATTAGTTCAATGATTTTTTTTTTTTTTTTTTTTTTTTTTAGGAAAGGTAACCTATTAGGGAAAGTTAAAATGGTTTCTGGGTTTTTTTCTATTTATTTAAAACTATTCTAAAATCTTTTTTTTTTTCTAACTAAACAAAATCAAGTATTAGGCAGCTAATCAAAGTTTACTGAGGTTAGTTTGAGAAATGTGTTAACTTAGATCAAGTGAGCTGTAGGTTAGATACTAAGACAACTTTGTAACTGTAAGAATAAGCATAGTTAAACATAATATTATTTTCCTCAAGGACATTGTGAAATTCCCATCTTTGGTAGCAGTTAAAAACAGTTTAGTCAAATATCTGTTAGGAACAGTCAAGGAATTTGCTCAAAAAGGAGAGTAAAGTTCTCCAAAAAGGAGAAAACTTCTGGTTCCTTCCAGATTTACATTCGTATGTTTCTAGATATTTTTTAATGTAGAAAGCTATCAATATGACTACAGTGAAAAATAAATTTTGCACTGGTAAAAAGATTTATATGAAAATTTTAATCCATTTTTTATTCAGTCTTCATGTTAATCTGGGAGCTGTTCAGTACTTGATAGACATAGACTAACAGATTTGTTCACTTTGATCACGTCCTTATGGTGGAAAACTGGTGGTAGGACTTCTAGAAGCATCTAARTAGAAAAAAAACAGGATTCTTTTGTCACTGAAAGATTTTAAATTACAAAGGCATTTGGATATTTATTTTACCTCCCTTGGATTTTATTTTTCCTCACAAACAGAAATCATATTTTCAAATGTATATTCATTTTTTTTTTTTAGTGTGCCCAACTAACAAAAATATGCCAAAAGCCCATATACATGTATGGCTGGTATATTCATTCCCTTTATTGTTGGCAACTCAGCTTTGGTGTGTTTTGAATGATGGCATGTGGTGTAAGAGAACAATTAGCAACTCGTTTATCATCCCTCAAACACAGTTTTCTGAAAAGGATAAACAATAAGAAGTCATTGCGAATGACAGAAGTCATTCCCATTTCACAGTGGGGGGGGAAAAAAAAAAAAAAAGGAAATTGATTGTGAAAGATTATCTTGTGGCAGAAACTGGCTTGTTAGGGCTGTTGCCATTTCTTGATCTAAAGCTGAAGATTTACTTGTGTGCCCTAAAAGCTTATGTAATTCTTCCAACTATTTCAGTCGACCAAAGAAAAGATATTGCTTTTCCCTACCAACCTTTTCTTGATAATTCAAACCGGTAACTTCACTACAGAATGAATAGCTAGCATGCACATTGGTAGCTTTGGTAAATAASAAGCAGAAGCTCACCTATCATTAATTGATATAATCAATGGACTT